AATATTTTGTTTTTTTGTGACTCAAAGGTACACGATTAGACTCAGTTTTTGATGGTGAATCCGAATATATCAAATTCGAAAAATTACAGTGAACGGAAGGTGGCAAAATCTCAAGTTTTTTCAGAGGGATGCAAATCTTTTGTTCTATTGGCGCTCTTAGTATTTTGAAGATTTCTCCCCGAAAACTTGATCGAACTCGAATCAAAAGGTGATATTCGGAATCAGCTCAGTTAGTGCTATCCGACTATGTAGCTGTCGACAGAAAGTTACGATAGTGCTGCATTTTTGAGTTGCGGGCACCTTACGCAGGCAGAGCTAGCTGGACAAGCCGTGCGTAAAATCACTTCCAGCAAAATAATCGGCTGTGTCAAGCCGCTTTTCTACTAAGTTAAATGAAGTCAGATTTCAAATGCGAGCCCCCATTGGTCAATAACTGGACCATTCAAAAACGAGTTTTTCTATTTTGTCGTTTCTAAGAATTTCGAGAAAAATTCATAATAGGTTTTCGGGGCCCGGATCTCGAATCTGAAGTGAGACTTGAAATGCGAGCTCTCATTGGTCAATAAGGGAAAGGTTGGAAGCAATGGAGGGAATTACTTGTAGTATGTAAGAGAAAAGGGCGTTTTTCAATTGCGACAACTTTTTAATAGTTTTTGTGTCAAAATTAAAATACTGAACATTTATGCGACGATACAGGATAGAATAACATAAAATTTCGCGATAAACCTGGCTTTTTGTGGGATTTTGAAATCAAGCCAAAAGACGCTGTTCATAGCCGATTAAAAATCACCCTTTTGGGTGACAATTCGCGAGTTTTCTACGTCTGACTGAGTATTCGAAGGCACGTTACTGGGAGTTATAAGAAGATAAAAAGATCAATAGTTATAGTTTGAATTAGAATCTGAAGAATACCTCAGTTGTGGCTGTGGGTTTGAGGATGAACTTACGAGCGAATCTCTCGAAGTGCTAAAGCGCCTTTGAACCAAGACTATATTCATTCGATAGGTCTTAATGAGCAACGAAAAAGTCTAGAAGGATTTGGTTTTCTGAGCCTTCGCTGTTGAGATAGCGTATTTTTACTGTATTCTTATCAAAACGGCGTGATTCATCTCAGCTTCAACTGGAAAATCTACTTTCGACTTTCCACCAGAAACTTTGCACAAATAAAGGTCTCAGTGAGACTAGTTTATCCCGAAAGCTGCAGATTTCTTGATTACTTCTATCGGTAATATAAACATTAAAGACTTTATCCGTGTATACGAGTGATGTGAGGTATAAGTTCTTTTTCCTTATCTCTTATCTCATAATATAAGAAACTAAAACTCGTGAAATTTTCAGGATAATCTAGTCTCACTGAGATCTTTATTTGTGGAAAGTTTCAGATCGAAATAACACGAGAGTCGATTTACCAGTTGAAGCTGGGTGGATCATGGCGTTTTGATAAAAATACAGTAAAAATACGCTATCTCAACAGCGAAGGCTCAGAAAACCAAATCCCTCTAGACTTTTTCATTGCTCATTAAGACCTATCGAATGAATATAGTCTTGGTTCAAAAGCGATTTAGCACTTCGAGAGATTCCTTCGTTAGTTTTTTTTCGATCAAACTAGATTTGACGTTTAATTTTATCTTTATAATTTAACAGTAAAGTGTCTTCAACTTCAAATTCACCCCATTTATCTTTTAAATTTCTACAACTATTGTGAAGTATCTCTTGGATTTGAAGCCGAATATTTCGTATTCTCTAATTCTACAGTAAAGTCTCGTTTCAACTTTCAATTCAAACAATTTAGATAGTTAGACATTTAGATATTTAGATTTCTATAGGGTGGAGCAGGGCGCGGGGAGCATGAGAGTAATTAACGAAATATCAGTTCTGGTTTACAGGGCTTGGTAGGCTATTTGAATACGGCGGGAGGTATCACAAAGTGCTACTGAGATCACCAGGCTTAGAGGCGGCGAGGGAGCCACTGACAGCCCGAGACGGAATTTAGAGCAATTGATTCAGGATTTCTTCCTGCCTAATGCCTCTTTCCAACGGGGCTGTTGATTCGAGGTGCATGAGGCAGAGTGTACGACTAGGAATACTGCTCCGATCTTTCATAAACATGGAGATGTGTGTAAGAGTTTATTCTGCAATTGTGCTGGATACCGATATACTTCTGTACTATGATCAGACCCTAGGCTATAAGGGAGATCTCTTGATGCTATTCAGTAGAGTGCAATGTTATTATCTTGTGAACTGAACTGCGTACCCTAGAAAACGTACTTGGGGCCAAGTGCTTGAACCAAGTACTCCGTCTGTGTAATGAAGCCGGTAATTGCCTTTTTTCAAGAAGTAAATTTACTTAAAAGTACTTGTCCTTACTTGCCAAGTACTTTCAGAAAGTACTTCTTAGCAATAAGGCAAGTATTTCGATCATTGACAAATACTTAGTTAGTAATCAAGTACGTTCTTTGGGGTAAGCATCATAACAAAATCACCGGTGAATAATAACCACCAGACAAATCCCAAACGCTTACGCATTGACCTGCCCAATAAGACTACGGTAAACAAAATAAACTTTTGTTTTCAACACCAACCTTCAGAACAAATTCACTTTTCTAAAACAATAATCATTTCTCAACTTTAAAATCAGATTTTCATCAATTGAAACGCCAACGTCCTTGAAATGTGAAAACAAAATTGAATTTGGTTGTAATTGGAAGAACAGTTCTTCAACTAATTCTTCATTGTTGAGAAAATGAACGATCACTCTGCTAAATATTGTTCTAAACAAAAATGAGAGACTCATTTCAATGTAACTGATCTTTATTTCTACACGATATTTTTGTTTTATTTCAGCACCACTACGTTCAAGTTCGATTGACATTCATTCGAATGCAAAATGGATACAGAATGGTCTCACTGTGGCTGGAGGAAATGGTCACGGCAATGGAATCACACATCTAAATAGTCCACAAACTACAACAAAAACAGCTTTTTCAAACATTATTTTTTATTTGTTTTTCTGGTGCTATTTGATGATATAATTAAAATGTCATCGTAAATTTTTCTTTACTGTTTGAATAATAGCAATATTCAATAACATCCTTTTTCACGGCTTTGACACAATGTATTTGCAATGTCTTATTGACAGGTTTTGTTTTGCTGAACAGTTGTTTAAATGGTGTTTCGGATTTAGCAATTTCAGTTGTTGTTATTTCACATAATATAATATTTGGCATTTTCGCTTGAGCTATTTTTGTAAAATCTTTACCATTTTTACACTGATGTTTACCAGCCATTATTTCACCATAAACTGTTCCTTTTACCGTGCCTCCTAATCCATCTACAACTCCTTTACCATGATTCGTGGCGAAAAAGTGCCACATCAAATGGAGCTGATGACGTTCACTAACGTGAGTAAGATTGCGAAATAAAAATTTTTGTTTAAATTGAGCAGCTGCCCCATCTGAAAAAAAATTGTATTTGTTTCAATCTCGGTAAATATTGTTTCATTTCGTTAACCGAATAATTAACACAAACATCCACACAATATTTGCTGTGTGTTACATCGTCAGATGGTAGCGCAAAAGAATACTGAGTACTACCGCACCATGAATGAGCCGTAAATATTGAAATAGATTTTTTGGACCAATGTGCAGATTGAATTTCATTCTGTTCCCTTGTTTAAAAGTTCTCCAAATAGTCTCTACCTTATTACTATATTTTCATCGTCGGATTCTTGTTTGATTTGTTCAAAATATTGACTTCGTTGTCGTTTTTGTCCATACATGTACCAAATAATGTTTAATTTTTTTCGATAAATCTTAACCAAAACTTGCGATCCTGAATATCGAGTACTAAACTAGTTTCAAACATAAAATCTAGAAAAGAAACATCTTTGGGCGAACGCGTTGTTTTCGATCTTACCTCTGGTTATAATCTCCAAGGGAAACATCTATATTTCGATAACTTTTTCACTTCTCTCAGACTATTAGAAAAGCTAAAGTTACG